TTAGGAGTTACGACCTACTCACATGACTGCAATAGCAGAAAAGACCGCAGCAACAGGAAACCTCTTCTTCACACTACATTCCCAGCAAGGCTACTAACATTTTTTTGTAATCTTAATTCTATCCATATGAACATAATATTAATTAACGAAAATGAAACTGGTTTAATATCAGTACTTTGCTGAGAGCTTTAACGGTGAATTCAGTATGATCTATGTATCATTTTTTCAGTAACAGCAAATTTTCTAGCATACTTTTTTCTTAGTGTAATTTCAGACATGCACTCCTAATTTTGATTATTTTTCTTAGAAAACATCACCATTTCAGCCATGCACTCCTAATTTGATTAAGCACGTTTTTCACTTGAAACAGTTAAATTAATCTATCTTGCTGAACACGATACTATTATTTAACAGTGAAGCGACAAAACCGTTTACGTTTTTTAAAGTTTACTTACTTTAATATATGGATCTGGTCCTGAATCTTTGTCTTTGGGATCCTTCAGCAACAGAACCTTCATTGTTTACCAAATAACTGCAGGAGGACTCTGAAATACAATAATGGAATTTATCTAAATTAGATCTAGAGGACTTTCTACTGAATAGTGACTTTAATAGCTCAGCTTCACAGAAACTGGGTTGCTAACAGTTGCACTGCTCTCCACACAATGAGTAAGCAGTTAACGTACGTTCTCTGAGCATGAACATCCACCCTGATAAGACCGACAAATAACATGCTGTCTTTAGATAATACTGCTTAAGGGAGAAACTATCACGAAAGACATCAAGGAGAGCACATTCTAAAGGAGGATATTTTGTAAAAGAAGCACAACCCCTACCATGCAGTCATGTTCAGCCATGTAGTAAGCTCCTGTCTAGAAAAACTTACTCTATTCTATTCGTTTCCGTGCTAGTTCCCACCGTACGCTCATCATCATGAGTCTGCAAGCGTTTATGTATCAGGTAACGTAATTTAATGCATTTGGGGTCTCACCCTTTTCATGGGGAAAAACATGTGCAGGGCTGTGTTTCAATTTTTTTAAAAAAAATACAAATGTGTGCGCACACGCACATTTATACAACTGAATAGAATATATATAATATTCATATGCCTCCTTTGATATATCTACAGTAAACAAGGCAAGACTGAAAAAATATATTCTGCCATTAAAATGGAAGACAATAGTTCTCAATTCCTTAAAAGTTCACTTTGGGGCTAAATTCAAAACCTGTTACAACATGTAAGTGAAGATATCAAGCATCAAAGTAAACAAATGCAATAATAAAACCAAACAGAAATCCATCTCACATTCACCTGAATTATCTATGTGTTACTTTCCTCACAGATTACATACTAGCACATTCTCTTTAAAACGAATAATTACGACTATTCAAATGTACAGAATATCCTAAATGTTATTCATTTGCATGATATGCACTGAAATCCTCAAAACGTCATCAAAGACAAAAAAAGCTGTTCAGACAAAAATGAAAACAGAGAAAAGACAAAAGGCAGCTTTAGGCAGCAGTGGATGAACCAGGGTCTCGTACAAGCAAGCAGGGCTCAGTGACACACACTCACCATAGCCAGAAGCACTGTGAAACAGCTGGTGAAAAGGGCACCCACAGCAAACCACCCCCAGGATCTCAACAGCCAACTGTGATACTACGTAAATCTCTTGGATTTTAAACTTCATTTTATAATCTAGGTTTTAAAATGTGGTGTCATAACTGAGGTGTTTAATTCTGAACATGTTACCGTTAAGACACGGAAATGCTCATTTCCACAAGACTTCCAGCACTCAGCACATAGAAGAAGAAACAAGGACTTTGCCAAGGGCCATATTCTCAAAAAGTGTAATTCTTGCGGATTTCAAACGAGAGCAAACGCCAAAGTAGATCCCATCCAGGGCTTTCAAGAGTTGGACTCCCAAATACTTTTGAGCAGCCAGGTGCTAGTAGCTCAAAGGAGGTAGAGCGAGGTGACTTCGCTCAGTCACTTTACCGTTGTAACAGTCTTCACTTTAAAAATCCAACATTCTTGTAAAAACATACTTTGTGCATAGTCCCAGATGACTGGAGGCTGGCCCATGTGAGGCCCCTCTGCAAGAAGGGCTGGAAGGAGGACCTGTGGAACTACAGGCCCATCAGCCTGACCT